GACTGTTGTGCCGGAGGTCGAGAGTTCGAGCCCCGGCCGGACCAACACTCAGGGTCTTAAAATAATTGAGAAGAATATGCTGCCTTTCTATAACATCAAGAAATGGTTAGATATTCTAGTCTTCTCGGATATAGGGACGAATAAATGGAGGTCCCGTCTCCTGCAGGGTTAGGGGCAGGAGATATTAATTTCCCACACACGAGATTACTGCGTGATGGATGTCCTCCCCTGGGGTGGGATGGGTGGTTAACAGGACCCCCGTTGATACCAGTGTTTACTACACTGAAGGGGCTATCCTGTATAAATATTGATGTCTACTCTTTTAGCTGTAAAACCAGACAATAAGCGGAATTGCGGGCTACGAAGACTTCAATAGCTCACGACGACGTGACGCGACGCATTATTCTGTTCCTGAGAAGCACTACCTTCGATGGCAGTGACGGGCTGACATATTACGACAGCCATGGCGGAAGTCGTGAGTAGAGCGGACTGTGATGATGACTTCCGCTAAGGTTGTGAAACGTCAGCCTCTGCTTTAATTTTGATGGCAGACCCTCTGAGGACTTGTCTCACCCAGACGATCAAACCACACAATGAAAGGCTACAGAGCGCACTAAGATCTAAAATAAACGGCTGGAAATTGTCCAAGAGATGATGGGAAGCTCGAAGAGAAAGACAAGGGAGACCTGCATCAATAAAATAAGAACTGATTTGTAGCATCTTAAATACAGGCGCCCGATATTTTCAAGTTTATCTTTGGTGTGACTGCATAGCAAGAGGGCGTGAGGGTCAAGGGTTGCGCACGCGACGAACGCGCGCGCAGTAAAGAGAGAGAGGGAGTTCGCTCTCCTCGCGCGTTTTTCACTTTCCATGCGCGCCCCCTTAAGTTTTGCTACCAAGGCTAAATTTATTTCAATTTTTTTAAAGCGTTATTTTGGTATAATGCACTCAAACCATCGCGTTTAACTCCAGGTGCTCTGTCTGTGTTACTTTAAGAATGCTACTCTAAACAAGCTTATGATTTTATGATAGTCAAAAAAATACATCCCGAAACCTTTTGCACATGTGATAAGGAAATTCTTGTTTTTTTTTGTCTTCTGTTCTTACAGATAGCATGGATGGCAGTTAACATATATTTATTCGTCAGTGCCTACATATCTCTTCAGACATCCCCAACGAACTTCTACCTCAGAGTAATTGTCAAGGTACTGGTTTGAGTCTCTGATACCACTCTGATCGGCCATTTGCATTTATAGATATAATATCATTGATATAAATACATTTTAGACATCGATTATCTTTCTGTCAGAGATCTTGATCGATCATTACGTTTATTTTCTTGACCAAAACGAGTGTGAAGGATGAAATTTCAGTTTCATATCTCCCTAATATTCTTTAGGACTGAAAAAATACTCAACAAGTTGGCGTCGTCATTATTTTCGCGGCTACGAAAAAACTTGAAACAAAATCAGTTTCATTTTCCTTATGCGTGGGGTGTCCCTGTGGTACCCAGCCTGGCCAGTGGTCAGTAATCGAACTGGAGTTGCTAGTCCTTTAACTTTTTTACCCTAAGGTATCTGGGTTGTAATTCACCCCTTTCATTACTAAATTTTCCTTGTAATTTATTTACAAGAATTTGGTGTTATATCAGATCACACTGTGAGGCTGTTAATTCTCATCACGCGTTCGCGGTCAGTGTAGTGATATTATTTGGAGAATTTGCTTGAAAATCTTTCCTGGAAGTAAAAGGGTAAAACAAGAAGGAGGTCAATTGAGAGCAATGCCAGCGAGTTAGTCAATGGACAGCTATGTGGATATTACCAGATTACTCACACGTGTTGTATTTTATCTAAACAGGAAGGATTAGCTTTTGCCCGTGCTTCGGCTGCAGTGTTGAACTTCAACTGTATGCTTATTCTTTTGACTATGTGCCGTAACCTCCTGTCATTCATTCGAGGCCTCAGGGTACGTTAACAGTTTTACAGCAATGGTTTAACCTGATTAATCCAGAGCTTAATTCGATCATTAGGTTTGTCCAAGTCGTCTTTAAGAAAATGAAAGACGATCTGGATGATTATTTGCCATCTCTCAGACGATTAAGATCGAACGATTGTATCGGTCGAGTTCTATCCGATTGTCCGGGTCGTTTTATTCCTCGTCTATGTCGCGTTTCGTTTCGATTGCCTCCGAATGTTTTGAACGATTGGACCAATGTGGAGGATCGTAGGAGACCCTTGTCGAAAAATTAATTCTGTTCAGTGATCTTTATAACGCGCGTATCCTAGAAATGGTAGGTGAGAAAGGAACGATGGGAAGGTAAAGGTGAAAATCTTTCGCAGTCTCGTAACTTTCTCCCTACCACTATCCCACGCGCCCCCGTGCCACTCGCGAAACGAAGACGACTGGTAACGAGTCAGGGATTGACGTTGGATTTTTGATTGAGCGTTGGTTTTCTTAACGAACCAATCACAAGTTGGAGCGATGTAAATATTCAACACCACTCTCTTTAGACGTTGCAAAATGATGGGGTGGTGCATAGGACGGTTAACTAAACATTATGACTCCAGTTTGTCAATCAGCTTAATTTATGTGATTGTTTATTTGTATGTTCATTTATTTATCCTAAATTTATTTTTTGAAGTGTGGTACCAGTGTCCTTCGCCTTCTTGACAAGCATATGACGTTTCATAAGTACATTGCGTACATGATATGCTTCCAGACAGGTAACTTTTATTTTAGTAATTTGATTTTTATCCTCGCTGAGGGAATTTCGTATTGAAAAAAAAAGAAGAAATTGGTAGCCAAGTGAAACTTATTTTTGTTATTTTGAAAGATTGTTTTTTTTGTTTCTATCTACAGCCATTCACATAGTAGCACACGTTTTTAATGTGGAATTTTTCATTGACTCACATGCGAGTAAGGACGAGCTAGTTCAAAGATTGAACAGCTTTGAGGACCAGGGGAGTGAAAGTTATCTAAACCCCATACGGGATGCGAACGCTGTGAGTATGAAATTCCGTTTTTATCTGCTTAGATTTATTATGAATCTCAACGAAACCAAGGAAAGTGACAAAGCTTGTTGTGTCGTGTTCTTACGAGTGTGAAATCAGCGCCGCTAGGACTGTGGGCGGAGAGAGCGAAACAGACTCTCCTTAACTTTCACCCGGCCATCTTTTGTTAATAAAAAGATGCGATTTCGGGTAATTTATGTGTAATACTTTATGAGTTAATGAACCCTCTTCTCTTCAAGAAATTTTAATTGTGTGTGTTGTTACCAAACGTAATAGTGATTTCTAGCTTTTCTGATCAGGTTCCAGTAGTGGAGCTGTGGAAATTAGGTAAGTCATGAGGCTTGTGGAATGATTCTCAAACGAATCTCGACACATAAAAGGACTTAAACGTTCTTGAGAAAGAAGAGAAAAAAGAGTCCCTATGAGGATCGAGGAATCCGAAGGTCAGAGGTTCGATTTCTCATGTGGACTCGGAATCCGAAGGTCAGCGGTTCGATTCCTCATGGGGACTCGGAATCCGAAGGTCAGCGGTTCGATTCCTCATGGGGACTCGGAATCCGAAGGTCAGCGGTTCGATTCCTCATGGGGACTCGGAATCCGAAGGTCAGCGGTTCGATTCCCCATAGGGAGTCGGAATCCGAAGGTCAGCGGTT